AAATGGGCACTGCTGGCACATAGAGGCAGGCAGAGTGTTTCTTTTTTTTTTTTTTTTTTTGCCAGGCCATTGTTCCATATGTGCTCCACCTGCGCCTCTCAGAGCCTCGCGCCAAACACACGGCCGGCAGACTCCACCATCCTTGCTGATTGGAAGTTGCCATGGTGACGCTGGAAGCCGGCGCTGAAAATGGGGGGTTGCGCTGTAAATCACAACATGGTATTTTTTTAATTTAGGAAATTGGCAAAGGAAGTGTGGTAAATGAATCGTCGTTAATAATAATTCACATATGGGACAAAACACAATTAGGCTTTTTTTGGCTACGGGCAAAGAGAAGGCAGCTCCCTCTAAAATGTGATCTCATCTCATCAAAGGCACTTCAGCTCTCCCAGTAGTCCTGGGTGAGGACATGGTACATCTCGATCTGATAATGATGTTTATGGAAATAATATCAGTGAAGATTATTATTGGACACAGAGAGCAGCGAGATGGAGACATCAATCATGTAATCATGACCCGTAAATTGATTCTTATTACTGCATGCAAATGGGTGCTAAGAGTGATTAAGTGCACTGGCTTATTGGACAGAAAACTCATATTTGTTTTTTTTCGTCCCCCCTCTGGGATGCATACCCGCTACTCAACGCAGTTTTGTTTCATAAGTTATTTTTTTCATAAAGTGTTTTTGAGAGGAGAGGCGAGCAGAAAAGCTCACCCGTAGTTTTTTAATAACACGATGGCCACCATCCAGCTTCAGAGGAGTGCTGGGATTGGCTGATCCCTTCACACCCTGGCACCTGGAGAAGCCAGAAGAGTCTGTGTGTGCGTGTGTGTGCGCACGTGTGGTTGTGTGTGCGTGTGTAGGATGAAGGCAGGGGAGACTGTTATTGGTGGCTGCACTATTGGAGGCGTGACAAGGCCCTCACCTGCAACCAAGAGAGAAGAAAAATCATTAAAATGGTTTCAGGCCAAAAACCTTTGCATAAAATCCAGAACCCTTTTTGCCAAGGAGAAAGAAAAAAAAGACTCCTTGAATTCAAAGTTCAAAGTACATCGAAGGAATTCTTGGCTTTGCTTTTGGCATTTGCAGCAGGTGTGAGAGGTAATATGCGAGAAGGAAAACCTCTCTGTTTAAAATTAGCAGGGTTTGAATTTGTATTAGACCGACGGAGCTGCAGTGATGCTCATCACTCGCCATGGTGACCCACGTATTTGCCTCTGATTAGCAGCCTCTGCTGAAAACGGCTGTGCAAATATGATATGTACATTTGCATGTTTGTTGTCATTCATTCGACCATTAATCCAAAACCCAAATTAAACCGGCGGCAAGCGGCATTGTGCGGAACGTGCGTTTGATTGCTCAGCTGTGGTCTGCGAGATCATCCAGTGGGGTTGAAATGAGCAAAAAAGGAGGATCGATGAAGCAGCATTAATGGGGGACACATCCAAGACGTTCTGCCAGAAAGTAAAACTACTAAATTAAAACTACTCTACGTAGTCTGCTCAAGTTGGTGCTGTGGGTCGTGGCTCGCGCGCGCCGGCTTATCCGGTGCGGATGTGACCTTTCCGAGTCATTGAAAACCCGGAGTCGTAACGGACAAACTGACCTGCGGAGGAATTAGCCGCTGCTCCTTTCGTCTCCTGCAAACCCAACAGCTTGAACACGCCTGGGCGCTGCCTCACAAAGGCGCTCCACAGAGGAGGCCTATTAATCTTTCCAAAGCCCTCAAAAAAGCACAGGAGCCAGCGTGGGCCCCCGAGTCTGGTGCCCGGGGCCCACAGACAGGGGCCCTCTTTGGCAGGCTGCGCGGGGTCACTCTTTGGCCCTCGATCAAAAAAGCAGGGGCGGGACAAGGTCACGGGGCGGCGTACCTGTGCCCTTTGGCAGATGCCAGGCTGAGGCGTGCTCCGGGGAGTGGATCAGTCGTGGTGCTGCCGGCCCCCAGCTACATCAATCAGGACCTGGCTGCTGTTTCTCCACCATTAAAGAGAAGATGGATGGAATGTAATCTGAACGCGGCGCAGCTTTCCCCTCTTGTGTTCAAGGCCCGACGTGGAATAGGCACTCAGGGGGAATAAGCAGCACCTGTGGCACCACTTTAGCCCCGACCCCTTGTCTTTGTTGTTCAAATGATCATGTGGAGACGTTATTTTGACGACCAGTTTGATCTCTTGATACGCGAAGCGACGTCTCCGGACAGCACAACAAACGCATTGTGGCCACTGATGATGGCAAAATGTTGGAGCACAATAGGTTGGTTTATTGTTTTTCGGTCTTTTGTTGGATCTCGATATGACAAAATAATGTCTTCACAACAGGGAAGAGTGTTTATTGCGTACTTTAATAAACATGCCTGATGGCTTTTGGGTAGCAGTTGTGCTGTTTGGTGTGTATCACCCTTTTAAGGATAATTTGGATTGATATAATGGGTTTGCCTAACAGCTCGTCTGCAACACATTGGCACTCAGTTTTTTTATCGAAGGCCTAATTTCTTAATCCTCGATGGCGCAGCACTCTATTCACAAGGGTAGATGTGGGTGGTGGGGACATGTCCCCTCGCAGCAGAGCGGTTGGTCAGCCAGAAGATTTTTCTACCACTGTGTGTTCCAAAAACACGTTATTGAGCCACAATGGTGCTCTGAGAGACATTTTCTTTTGCTATAATCATGTGGTTTATTTGTCCAACCAACATAAACCGGCCTGCCTCTGTAAACACCCACAAGCATACCGACGATGTTTTCACACGCGGCGGAAAATAGTCCCCATACAAAAGTTCTTTACTTTTGTCTAAGTCAGGTTTTCCATAAAAGGGCCGAGCTGTTTTAGGAAAGTATGGATCTATTTTCAAATAAATGGAGCTATAATTGTGGGTGTAATGTAAATGTAGATATACAAATGAATGAATACAAAATAAAAGTTACTTAATTCAGTCGGAAGATTTCTATGGAGATATGTACAAATATACTGTCAGCCTTATTCTTTACACATTTATGTAGTCTGAATAATATCTTAAACCTTCACGAAACTAAAAAAAAACAGGATTAAGTAGAGTGAGACTGTTGTGTTGACACTATAGAGTTTGCGTTACCACAAGTCTGCAATGAATGACACCGTCAACATACAGCAAAAGGTCTTCTGGAAACAACTTACACAAAACTTACACAAAATGTACTCCCATCTCAAAATCCATGGAGACTAGAGAAAGAAAAAACACAAGCAAGGTTTAATTATAATACATCTTAACAATACATTATACATAATGTATGCAATATAACACATATGCATACATGCATGGTTCAAAAGGTTTATCCTGACGTCCACCATGGGAAACATAATAGTAATGTGAACTGATTATTTCAAAGCCCCGGTACTGACAGGCATTTCGTGGATAAATACCAGTTTCCTAACACTCCCAAGGGTGCAGTTTTAAATCAACACAAACCTTTGACCTTTTGCGGAGGAGGCTACAGGAAACCACAGTTTTGTAAAAAAAAAAAGAGAACCACATTGTTAGTATTATCTACATGCATCAACTATTCCTAAGCATGTGTGTATAAAGGAGTCAATGTCAGCAATGCAGGCAAGGTGCTGCCCTCTTTCAGAGAGATCTCCGAACCCTCTGCATAAATCAGAATTAAAGATGCGAGAAGTCCGCAGCTCTGTCAAGTCATTTATCAGCACGAAATGTTGTGTTTTAACGTCTTACTGCCAGGATTCGAACACCCCCCCATTTCACTCAAATCCTCATCATCACCCAACGGCCTTAAAAAAAAAAAGTTTGTCTTTTGCATGTTTTCCGACACGAGCCGATGTTTTTTCAAATCAAAAACAATAATTAAGTTTCCTGAAGTGTTAACGCTGAAGCAGCAGCAGCAGCAAACGCGGTTACCTTCCCATTGGCCAAAAGCGAAACCATAAAATGATCCTGTTATCAGGTTAAAGCTTCAGCATCCTTCCGCTGGCTCCATTGCCTCCCAAACAAACAGACCTTGCTCTGGCTTTTCACTGTGTGTGAGGACTTGTCAGAATGGATATACCCTGCTGGGGCGGCTGCTCTTCTCACCCCAAAAGGCTGCGAGGAGCGAACAGAGCTCTACTGTGCCTCGGCAGACATTGAAATCCCCCCCCAAACGTTTGTACAGTGAATTCCATTTCCTAGCCTTTTGATTCATACTTTCTTCCGCTTCTCTCTTTTTGCTGTGAAGTACCGAGTTTGAACTTTCGCTACTCTGCAAATGGAGGTTTGGGGTCAGGCAACTTTGGGGGCGAGCGGGGGTCGGGGGGGGGGGTGAATGTCTTAAAAAGAAGGGAAAACTATGAAGAATAATGACATGCAATTATTAAGGAATCGAGAGTCTCTATAACTGAGGGCCACTCCCGTCGAGCCCATTACATGGAGTGGCTGTTTAAGTGCAAATAGAAATCTACACCGCTTAAAGAGATTTACAACTGCAGCAATTGATGTCAAGAATTTTTTTGGGAAGTGAGCCTCAAAAACCCCTTACTGCTCATTTCACTTGTGCTTTTTGCTTTCGCTGATGAATCATCAGTGGCTAAAAAGGAAGCGAAGGTCAACGCGCCGCATTGGACCGGACGTTTCCTACTCGCTCCAGCACCCCGCCAGTCCTTTGACTGCAGCCAATCGAAGGTGTCCACATTGACCGAAGTGGGGGGGGGGGGGGGGGTCAGCTCAGAACAGCTTGTTCGCATCGCAGTGAGGCTCATCCATACTGTATGCGGGGTTGTGGATTAGTGGATGAAAGAATGCCACTGACTGTGAAATTGCCTGATTTTTATCGGGGATGTTGGGGAGCAGCTGTGCACAATCCTCTGCCCTAATCCTGGGGTCGGAGAAAGGACCGTGCAGGAAGGGGAGGTTCGGATGTGTGTTCTGTGAGTGTGTGTGTGTGTGTGTTGCATGCATGCCATGGTGCATAATGGAGAAGTTGTGAATTTGTTAATGCATTCAGTAGACTAGTTATTCCTGATAGGTTATCCTAGCGTTTGTAGTCTCATGAGTGTTTCCGCAGCGGCGTGGAAAAGTAGCGATGCAGGAAGGATTCAGCAGATGACGGAGGACTAAAGTTTGGCTTTTTATGTTCCAACTGGTAGAGGCCATCGCCAGCTAAGAACTGTGTCATGACAGTATTATTGATGCGTTGACCGTATAATCCTCGCCCGCCGCTATCTGACCCGAGCCTGCAGCTGGAATAGAGAGGACAGAAAAAACTCCAACAGGGGAAGTGTGAAAAGGTTTTAAAAGAATCCTCCCAAACACAAGTGCAACTAAAAAGGCCTCAAAAACAAAATTCAAACTGACCAACCATCAGACAACCATCACCCATGTCTCGAGTTACACTCGGGTTTTAGCATATTAGCGTAGCGATTGGGTTTTTAGCAGGTGGCTACTTTACTGTGACATTGGTGAGCATCTAACTGCTAAATAGACAGATATTTGTCTCAGGATTTTGTCGAGGCCAAGAAACTAAAAGCTAAATGGAGAGTGAAGATTGGATTTACATTCAAGTAAGTAGACACTACTTTAAATAATAGCTAACGTGACAGGGATATTCCCTGAGTAGGTAAATACCAAACGGGCAACTATTTTTATCTAATTGTTATTTAAATCAAAAGTTGATTTAATAGCACACTAGATCCATCCACACTTATTTGTGCTGTAAACATTGGAAAAAGTCAAATACCATCAAAAGCAAAATTCCAGCTTTCAAATGTTGTGTAATGTCATCCATCACATTTCTCATCACCATAACGTTTAAGATAGTAAAATATGCTAAAAAGATACAGCTACAGTACTACTACGGGTAGAAAGAGTCCGTTAGGTAGACCAAATGATACCCTAATTGTAGGCATTGCAGGGTTTTGTGTGCATCTTTGATCCTTCGTCTTTGATGTGGCGCTGCCCACACACATAAGCGCGTTTTTGCGTGGGCGACACATGCCAGTGAAGCGCTCGATCTGCTCGTCTCGCTGCGGCTGGGGAATCGTTCCTCGTGGCGACGCTCAGATGTTTGCACGCGGGATGAATCGAGGCCCATCTCGGTGGCCGTGCCTGACGCGCGCGCTGAAATGTGCTCGGCAGGTGACGGGCAAACATATGCCTCAAATGCCATGGGGTCCTGAAGCCGGATCATCTCCAAAGGCTAACTGGCAGGTCTAAGTAGGGACGGCATTAATACATATTATTCACAAAGAGCATGATTGAACAGAAAAATGTGCCCGGCGTGTACCCAGCTGCTTTGTTGGCACGTACTCCACCTGGGCTTCCAGACTTGAGCTTGGATTTAGCCGTGCATTCACTGAATTCCCCATGCAGCTCCTATTCATGCATTCAGGCAAAGGCTGGGCTGCACCAACAAACCGCTTTCTGTGTGTGTGCGACAGGCTGTGTGCATTTGGGCCGGTGCCTAAATAGTTTGGTAAAATCACAGCAAATTCCGACTTTTGACAAGTATATACAGTAAGTTTTTATTATTCAGCAATTCAATGAATGTGATTTTTTTTTTAGAATAAAAGGCCTCTGCGCTTTATTTATTAAGATGTCCTAAAGACACGCGGATGCCTGCACGTTGGCAATGGACAGAAGGACTTTCCCAGGAAAGTTAAGCCTTTGACCTTTTTAATTTTACAGTCTCTTGTGGTTAGAGCACCCCTCTGTGGATACTTCCCTTCATCCCAGTGAGCATTCATTCCAATTATACTCAACGACATGTCCTGGCTGGTATAAATCAAGATTTGCAACCAGGCTGATGTTCACACCCGCTGCATGAGTATTTTGCATGATATGTTTACATGCATACACTTATATAAAAGAATGACCGTAGCTTGACTGACAGCCATCAGGAGGTCAGCAGGTGCTTCTGGGTTTGCTTGACAAGAGTGTGGTGTATATGTTTAAAGATACATCGCCCTCTAGAGGCAAAGCTATGAAGCGGCTTTCAGGCCGACGCCTGCTGGGAAATTGACCCACGGACCCATGAAAACACACAACACTTAAAAGTGCCATTTTTTTTACATTTGTATTTAATTGACTCACTTTGTGAAAAATCGCTGAATCATTTCCAGCTTGGTGACGTTGAATTAAAAGTGCAATTTAATTGAGAAATGTAACTTTCAAAATGAAAAAGGTTGACATGGAAAACTTTCATGAGGCGATTTACAAACTGAAAGGAATGAAATGAGAGAAAGAACATTTGCTTTTCAAAAATGAACGTCACACATATTGTACAATACTGTATGTATATGATTTTTATGTTAACTTAAGCCAGAATTGGCTAACCTTGTAACCCACAATAAAAGCTAATCCGTAACATTAGCAAATATATTTCATATACTGTCATTTAGATCTTATTACTTAGAAACACAAAAAGTGTAAATTCTACAATTAAATGATAGATCATGTAGTCAAACAAACTCAACTGGTGAAACATCTGGCGGGAGGATAGAGTCTCTGTAGAGTGGATTCTGAAAACATGGAAAATGTGAGAATGTTGGAATAAATCTGAAGATGGAGTTCAGTCTATAAAAATATAACAAGCTAGATTCCATGATTTCTGTCTTACCTCCACGTTTTTCACCCTTCAAGGAGAAACCTTACTGCAGAAAGAATCCCGATGGACAATGCATTAATTACCTTCACGAGTGTTTCCACTCCAATGACCTTAGGCATCGTGTCAACTTAACGTGTTCAGCAAACTCACGCGCTGTCCTTTCAGTGGCTTGCTGACACCGTCAGACTCATTTGCTTGGCTTCCCCGTCGACCTTCGTTCCCTTCAACACCTGGGGGGGGGAAATCATCCAATATGCGCAGCTGAGCAGAATTGTACGATAAGAAAATAAAAGACTCCCATTCAGTGCAAGTGAAACTCACTCGATCAAAACATGGCACTTGATTAAACAACACGTCCCCGAGGATTAATCCCCCACCGCTGCAAGTGGAGAGACTACACAAAAAGGCATGCAAGCGCAGGTTTCCCTCCGTGCACACTGAGAAATGTTTTGAAAGACTCACTTGGCCCGAGATGAACGATGTTGATTTTATCTGGTGGGGAGAGGAGAGTTCGAGCCATTTACAGTATGCAGTTTATTACTGTAAGAGGGCTACTTGTTCCAGCTTTAACGGCGCTGCACGTTATTTATTTTGAAGGTGAAGTTCCAGGAAAGCTGCAGCTCTGCGGAGCCTCACGCTGATGACAGCACAGCTTAACCTTCACATTCGGGACGGAGGAATATTTACCAAAGACGCTGTCATCATGTTCTGCGCTGCCGACGAATCTGGCTTTCTGTTGACTCGACTTTTCCTGCGGAGACAAAGATCAGTGCTTTATTATTCGACCGAGACCCCCGAAGACATCCACTTATTTACAAATTATGAGATTTCCGTGTGTAATGTTTTCACACTCTGCTCATGAATCTTTTGGTACCTTCCTGGAGGTCCGTGCACCAAACACAGAAGCATGAATGGGGGAATTCAATTCCACTCATTTTTGTAGATTTTTTAGATAGAGTAGACAAATAAATCTGGTGATGTGTAGACTCAGTTTTTTACATTTAGACCCCAAAGAGACATTCACCGTTTTTTTCATTAAAAAAAAGATTTGAATTAATGAATGAATTGATACTGCACAATGCCTGCCACAGAAAAAGTCCGAAGAATCAATATAAATAGTTTTCTTTCCGCTCTCCAAGTGTCCAAAACCCTCACATTTAGATCGTTTGGATGAGTATCATTGGTAAGTAAATCAAGTAGATATATGAATATACTAATCTCACACTAGATGTGTCTTTATTGTGTCTAAAATGTAATCATTCACAATTTAATAAGACAACACATTAGAGTGCTTCTTCTACATATGCCATGTTTGCACAGCCCAATTCTGACGAAGCCATTTTTCACCACATATTTTAAAACTCACACCTGTGTTTATCCCAGTGATGCAATGTTCCATGAAAAAGGTTTGTTAAGACAGCTGGTGCTCTAGGACGTCACTGTGATTTAACTATTACATTACAGCCCGTTGTCATGACGACATCTTTTTTTTTTTTAAAGTTTAGTTTTGTATCTTTTTCATTGACTGTTGTACCAACTCCTGCTGTTCCTCCACTCACCAGCAGGTGTCCTCAGCTCCTTCTCCAACCACCTGATCGTCACCTGCCTGCACACCTCACTCTCACTGCCCCGATCGGCCACCAGGTGTGTGTTCTACCGCTGACCCACTTTCACCTGTTAAACCTTCACGTCTTAACCTTTCTGCCTAAAAGGTAGAAACACTTGAGTCATCGGCTAACAGAGGAAACCCATAGAGGCTTAAAACACGGTGCCACACCAACGTTCCCTCTTATGCTGTAAAAGCACAGGATAGAAGACAACTAGTGGTAAGTGGCTCTTCATCACCATCCCCTCCTCTACGTGAAGACATCACAGCCCCCTTTCCTCTAAACGGTAGATGCTTGCTCGTACCATCCGGCCCTCCTGTGGGTAGATTGCATTGCCGCTTGGCGTGCTATGAGCAACAGATGGTTTTATCAGCAGTTCGGCCTGGCATGCTCATTCATTCCAAGTCCACTGTGGGTGCGATGACTCTGCGCGTTAGTCCCATACCTTCTGGCCGGCGTCCATGGCCTTCTGAGTCCGCTGCCACTCGCCGAAATGCTTCACGGCCCCGTCCACGGAGAGTGAACCTGCCTTCACCCTCTGCTGCAGTTCGATGAGTTGCTGCTGCCCGCTTGTCCGGTTTGGCACAAAGGTGTCATAGGTGGAGGGGGGGCTGTTTACTCGCCCTTGTACTGCAATGAACAACGACTCAATAAAGATATAAACCAAAAGAAAAGTTGTCCAACACTGCAACATTAATCACTGCATAAGTGAGGACAAGTTAACTGGCAGGATCTCAAAAGGTATCATCACAAATTGAAAGCATTTTTCCCGTGGCCAAACTAAGATGAGACGGGGCACAAAGCCCCTCCAAGTGGCGTACGTGACGGGGACTGACTTTATAATATGATTTGTTCTAGGAGCCATGACGATGGCAGGTGATGTTCTACGTGACATTTATAATCCCTCAGTGCCACCGACATTACGGCAAAGCAAAGAAAATGACACTGTATGCGCTCAATAGCTTAACCAGCTCATTCACACTTTGTATTTTAAGACCCACATGTATTTGAATAATCCATTTAAAAACACAGCATATTATGCAAGAACCCAGCACATAATTCCACCAGGTTGTCAATCATGACAAGTCATTAGCACGGTGAAACACTGCCAAGTAGCGGACGGGGCCTTGCTCCAAAAATGATGTCTGCAATTCACCTTGTTGGAACTGAATGATAATACCAGACACCCTGAGAGTGATGGCGGAACCATTTGTGCATTAATATGCAGATAGAAACTCTTATATCAGGTTATATTTCCGTCTGCCCGTCAACTGCACCCTGTTTCATGAAGGTATTGGATAATAAATACATATTTTATTTCATTCATTCCCCAGCCCCCTCCCTTTTTACCCAACACTCACTTTGTTTTGTGGTAACTGAATACAGATCAGCATCGCGCTGTGGCGTCTTCTTCTGGAACACTGCAACACACAAGAGCAGCTCGCAATAACTTATACCTATATTTAACAAGCAGATCATAGTATAGTTTATACCTTCTTTGTGATATTACCCTGACTGAAAACAAAATCCCTCACTGGTTTTGAGAAGATTCAAAAGATTTGTTTGCCCACATTTGAATAAAAATGTATTCTTCCACAAGATGGCGCCATAGTCTAAACCTCCAAACAACCTATTGCGTGTATTACTAAACGTCAACATCCAGCAGAAAACAAACATCACATCCATTCAAAGGTTCCAGAAGCAATAATATGATTGAATCCAAATACCTTCAAAATGACATTCATCCTGTTTTTCATCCCAGACCACAAAAAGTTGGTTTCTCTCACAGAAAGACGCACACATTCAGCTCTGGGTTGAATAATGCTTTTTGGTGTGCCCGCGCGCTCTCCAATGAAAGGCCACACTGTTTAGCTGCGGCTGTCTGACCAACCCTGGATTAAAATTCAACATCCACACCCTGAAAGATAATCCCAGCCCTGACCATCGGCCTCCATGACGAGCTCTCTCCTTTCCACGTGGCCTTCAAAGCGCAGCGCGCGAGACACAACGCCGGCTTTGTGGCCTTAAATGCCGGATGTGTGAGTAGAGCACGGCTTGGGGGGGGGCACCCAGCTTTATCGTGTACAGAGATTTTAACATGACTCCCCGTGGCGTTATAACACTCGTGATTCCACCTCCAGATTGAATTCCATTCGCCTTTCAGCGTTTTGGGCCCATTGAGCTCGAGATGCCGCAGAAAGAAACCCCCTCATTATTTCCACCCGCGCAGTGGTCTCCAATAACTGCCTCCTCTCTCCCTCCCTCTCCCTCTCTCTCCCTCTTCCTCTCCCTTTCTCGGGGCACCGCTGTCTAAAAAAAAGCCCTCAAAAGCCCGCTCCCTTCCCTCGTGCACTGCAGGGACGAGGACGATGGAAAAACGCGCGTAATGGCTTGTTCTGGCCGACTTGGCCACGGTCTGGCCGGGATTGGTTGCAGATGGCAGCACGGTAGTTCCCTCTCTCTGCTGCGGAGGGGATGCTCGGGATGAGGGCTCTGTAGGCCCCATCCGGAAGAACAAACGGCTTAATGGAGATGCCTGTTGCAAAAAAAACAAAAACACGCGCGTTTGTGTGTTTTGAATATGCAAGTGAATGCGTGTTAGTAGGAACGATGAGTGTAATATCATCTGTGGGAATGAAAATGTCTCACACGCGAGCACCCGTGTATGTTTTTGTGTTTGCACGATGTCGGCGAGCAGTCACAGCCGTTTCAATGATTCATGAGCCTTAATAAAACCAGTCACTTTTGGATGTTTCATCTTCATGAATTATTCACGCTGCTCAAATTGAACTGTTAGAGACTGTGGGCTTCCTCTTGCCTCACTCTTGTTTGTTTTGCAAGTGAAGGGAGGAGGTGGGGAAGGGGAGGGAGGAGGGGGGGGCATGTTCTGTATCAAAGGAAACTGTAGTTTCGAGTGACAGTGGTACTGCAAATTCCAGGCACTTCCTTCCTCCCACATGCATCTCAAAATTCATTACTCAGTGTGTTTTACTCCAGCTCCATCCCATCCTGTGATTTTGAAGGAAACGTAGGAGCATGGATTCAACAGAAGACTCACAAGCTATACCTTTAGTGATATAAGGTGTTCTGTCCTCCTCCTCCGAGGCGTGCATGTTCTCGGGCCGAGGCGTGGGCGCTGGTGGGCGGCTGGCAATCACAGCTGCCTTTGGCGAGTTCTGGATGGTGTCGTACACGTCCTTCACCTCCAGCTGTGGATAAGCATCCTCAACCTCCACCTCCTCGTGCTCTCCTTGCCGCTCCCGCTGCAGATGGGTGGCGGTGGGAGTCCCTAATGCACAAGGACGGGGGGGGGGTGGTGTTCACAGCACCATTACCCGAGTGACAACGGAGTTGTGCACGCTGCTTTGGCCAGCGGTGGCGTCTGGATGCGGGGCTACACGCTGTGCCCATCGGCACGAGTGTTCAGTGCTCGGAAATGAACCGTAACCCAGCAGAGGGGTTGTGATGGGATATAAAAAAAAAATCCTTTGTCCTCCTTCCACTTCCCATCAGTCCTTTACTCACCTGCAGAGCCCATCATTTCATATACACCGGCGTCATTGTCACCGCCTGTGCTGAACATGTTCTGCAACGATAGAGAAGAGATGCGCGTTATGGCGCTTCCAATCGTGGAGAAGCAGCAACTCAATAAAAGGCAATTTAGAATGCATGAAATGACCTTTCTAATCTGCTATGTTGAAGATAAGTCCCCCCCCCTTAGCTGCCTCACTAAATCCAGCTCATCCACATCTACTGTGTATCCCCTCTGTTTGCCTTCAGAAGGTTCACTGTTGCGTCACGGCCTTCACTGAAACATGGCTCGATTTGGATTTTCGTTTGGATCGAAAGGCTTAAGTGACGGGGGAAAACTGAAGTGGGCTCGGTGTGTTTATACTCATTCTATCACGCATCTGCACGTTGTGGCGTGCAGATGCGTTCCCCGGCCGCCACAGAGCTGCAGTATCGTTTGCTTTCTTATCTGTATCAATGCGTCCTCTCTACCTGCCCCGGGAGTTTCCACAACCTTTTACAACAACAGCATAAATCCATCCGTAGGCAAATGCCGCCGCAGCACCGTCTTCGATGTGGTGCAAAAACTACAGTCTACTTCACCTAATGCACCCAATGTCACACTCACACCCAATGTAAATCTCTCCCCCAACCCACTTCTGCATAACATCTGCATCTACTGCCCATATATAAAAGTGTGTTAAAGAGTGAGAAAGCACAGGCATAGAACATAAAAGACTGGACAGAAGAATCTGTGCTCTGTCTGCAGGAACGTTACGGCTGCACTGAGTGGGACATGTTGAACCAGTCTTGTGGTGAGGATGTGGATGAACTGGTTGACGTAACATGCTCACATGGTACCTTTTGTAGGGACATGTTCATTCCTTGTTAAAAGGTTAAATGCAGCAGACAGGAAAATAATCTTCTTTTTAAAAAAGTATCCTTGAAACTGCAAATAGCTTCCAAAGACCCAGAAACATAAATATAAAACTGAACTAGATGGCTGCAAACAACGTTGGCTCAGCCTGTTCTAGCATGAAAACTATCTGTCTAACTAATTCAGACAAATGCCTAATTGTTTTCATATTTATACTTTTTGATTTTACAAATGACATGACAATGAAAATAATTACCAACTGAAAAACAACCAGCACTTTGACATACAGGATGTGGAAATGGTCTTCCATCCCATCACATCTTTGTGATGGGATGGAAGACCATTTCCTTAAGCATGTACCTAAGGTCTGCAAGGATGCTGTTGTACTTCCTGATCGCAAATCCAGTTGCCCGAATATTCTAAAGGATTTTAAACCAGTGTCTCTCATGTCAATTTTAATGAAAACTTTTGAAAAACTGGCAAGGTCAGACATTTTAAAGTAAAAAAATGAGCAAGCACCATCCCATGCAGTTTGTTTTTAGGCCACACAGAGGAGTGGAAGATGCCACAGTCACTTTAATTTACCTTTTAAACACTCGGAGGGAAATGGATATCATGTTGGACTTTTATTGGTCCAATTCAACCCCATATTTTAACCATTAGGCTTTTAGAACAATTTGACTTTAGTCACAGTATCGTGTGATGGATTCACAGACTGAGCGTAAACAGAATTTTGTCTGACCAAGTTTGCTCTTCCACTGGCTCCCCGCAAGGATGTCTGCTTTCCCACCTGTTACTCATCGTCTACACAAATATGTGGCGGAGCAGGTATGGGAAAAGGCCCATTTTAAAATCTATTCAGATGGGTCTGTTATTGTCAGTCGGCTCCAGGACGATGAGACTAGCCACAGCTGCAGTCGTCGACGACTTTGTGAATTGGTGTCCTGCCTTCAATTAAACATATCTAAAACCAAAGATATGATTGTTGATTTCAGAAGACGAGCCCACACACATGAACCTTTGTGCAACCACTTGTGGAAAAGCAATCTCAGGCCTTTCGCAGGAATTGGAGCGGCGCCTGTAAGTTACCTCGCCTGTTGCTGGATAAGAGCGCAGTGCCACTCTGACAGCGAAGCTGTTGCTGAGTCGGCCGATCTGCTAATAGCAAGCTGAGGGACAGACGGGGCTGTGATCCGGGTAATTATGAAATCAGACCATCTTCCCCTTTCAGTCCAAACATATCATTTAGTGAGCAAATTCAAGACCCGCGGCTTGATGTTTAGACTGCATCCGTAATTCCACTGAGCCACGGCTATCAATTAACTGCTGCGTTTCAACTGAAGGGTTGCATCATTCATTTTGAGATGACTCATTCATTTTGAAGTGAAAGGCGGCTTTCTTGGAGTGTTTGTTTTGACAGGAACCATTTGGGAAAAGAAGAAAAAAAAGCACATTTTATATCAAGTCAACGTTACAATGTAGTATTTGGGACATGGTGAAAAACAGTGCCAACCAATAAACTGAATTGATACAACCCTCTCGGCTTTTCTCGTGATTCAACAAGCTGTAGATTTGCCTCCCCTTCGTATGTCGCATGCAGACTCATTTGAAGAGAAAACAACTGTAGAACTGTAGAATATCCCCTCAGAACCAGCCAGTTATATAAATAACAGACAGAACAGAAATACAGCTCACTTTAATCAAGATGTCCTTCATACAACCCACCACGCTCCGTGTGCAGTTTCCAAGCAACACAGCTACTCGCGGCTCAATTACAATATTACACCATTCCCACTCCTGCAAATTACTGATTGGTTGCCATGAATGCATTACTTAACAGCGGAGGTTGATATCAAGCCCAACAGGTAGAAAAGGACGGGTTAATTACCATTGCAGCTTGAAAAGTGAATTCTAATATTTGGATGCTGCGAGCACGATGTGGTATTTTCCGATGTAATGTCTGGACAAGGAGAGAAATGTATTTGCAAGCCGCGAGTACCGAATCATTTTACAGATGTCTGAAACTGCAGGCGCCCCACTATAAAAAAAAAGAAAATCACTTTCATCACCGCAATCCAAGCAGCCACGATTCAGACGAAACAGCGGGCATAATTTTGGTTAGGGAGCAAATCTCAAGTGAATCTAGTGCAAGATAAGGAGCGTTAATCAGTTTTTCGGCAGCCGAAATGGTCAACTTATGAAGCGGCTAGTCGGGGCTCTCAGGGCCTGCTGATTGCCTTTTTACATAGTGGTCTCGGGATAAGAAGGTGTTTTTGGGGGAGGCAGATTGTAGAGTGTAACACTTAAACCGCCTGTCTAGTGATACGCAGGTTTGAGGTAAATAGTGATAAGCTCAGCATGCAAAGAAACACTTTGTAAAGTGTAATCTTTATAGATGTCCTTCATTTAAACCATCCTGGTGAACTATGTTATATCAAGACTTCGGCCAAGATCACGGCTCCCTGAGCCCATTTTTAAACAGTGATGCTATGAGCAAAATGCTTATGTCAATTTGCTGACAACATGCCCACGCTTACTAATTATTCAGCATGCCAACATTTTCTAATTAGACCTGAACACAAAGCACAGCTGAACCAGACATTGCATCTCAATCGCACGGTTGCACGGCATCACGGCATCCACAAATCTAGAATTTATAGGAACCATGAATGTGTCCATAGTATTTTTCAACCCATTTAGATATTTCAGCCTGGAAGCGGTGTGACTGGCATTGCCATTCATGAAGCAAGCATAGCTAAGGACCGTGTCAAAGTGATTGGATAAATGTTTATTTTCCCATTGCCAAGTCTTGCAGTGTATAGCTTGAGGGATGAAAACGGTTTCTTTTTTAGAAAGAGCATGACTGTCGAATTCAAATAATAAACAAATCTGCAAAGTCTGCCTGTAATCATGTGCAGTCTCTGACCGAACAAACACAACATGCAAAATGGGGTCAGTGGACTTAGCAAATCCCCGGATTAGCATGCGCAGTCACCAAATCTTTCTGTGCTGCATTTCAGTAGAAAGACACGGCATGCTGCGCCTGAGCTCTCCAGCCTTCAGAGGACCATACAGAAGCTAATTTGTATATATCGAGCCCTGCTTCGCTCCGTGTGAGAGCACACAGCGGAATGTTGGGAGGAGCGCAGAGTCCATCCAAATGCCAAGTGACCCAGTACTAAAATATTAAATAACGACAATGTGTGTTTGTGTTAGTAATTACGACGAGCAGGCATATTGCCTTCTGTGGACATAAACATTGAGGATAATGGCATTTTCTATATTTACATTCTAGTTATGCTCCCTCTGAATAATTCAGCTTTCCCCCTCTGGAGCAGTTCACAGCTAATTAACAAAGAAGTGTGGTGCCAGGGCGGATTTGTGCACCCGATGCAGGGCCTGTGAGTGATTCGAGCCTGTGTGCATGAAGCAGGGGAGCGATCCATCTCCAATTTATTGACAGAGCTCTGCTACACTGACGGCCAAACCACTGATGCATCTTGGCTTGATTAATTGGAGAGGGATGGGGTGTGTGTGTGTGTGTGTGTGTGTGTGGTGGGGGGTGCTCTGCAGATGAGTTAATGAAACTGCCGTTAAAAAACAAAACAAAGGAGCAAGGGCCTCTTACGCCTCCTCCTCCTCCTCCGGCACGTCACCCGAGCACGGTGCCGTTTTTGCATAAAATACACTTTAACTGTCCTCCGAGAGAGCGCAAACATCAGTTGCTGGTGCATGTCTAATCTGTCTGCTGTGTTCCATCTATAGGCTCGTTGAAGTCCCTGTGGGGGGAGACCTCAGTTCGACTCTGCCAGTCCCCTGTCTGCTCAGCTGACTCACTGCAGACCCACAGCGAGCACTTTGACTCACTAGAGCAGTCTGATCAAACCTCGCACCATCTGCAGCCGCTCTCAATTAGCCAGCGTTGCTAGGGGGATAAATACATTTGCAACAGCTGTTTGAGTGTCTAAATTCCCCCGGGAGAGGGGGGGGGGTACTCTAGGCTGATTCAAGGCATCAGAGAATTGTAAAAGTTGTCGGTGTTATTAGCAAAGACAGTAGCGGAGATTTTCATGTGAGTGGATGAGCGTTGCGTTCAGTAGCTGCTGATTTTTACATAAAATAATTGAATTGGAATATTTCAAACCCTCTTATTATTTGTATTGTTTTTCTATTTACTAATTTATGTATACGGTGTAGTTACTACTCTCAGAGAGCATTACGAATATGACAGGGCGCTTTAGAACCAGCAGGGCCTCATTATGTTATCTTTACATTCAAGTTTCTGTACGGATGAAACAAATGAGATTTTAAAATGTCAGGGTAAACAATGAGCATTGGAAGTGATGCTTGATATGTTTTGTTGGTTTACATTTGGAGAGTTCCTGGTTAGTCGTTTTAACTCAACATTTAAATGCATACAGGCAGCATCTGTGAAACTGTTGAATTTTTTTCCAGGATTGTGCTCAAGTGAAAATGTTAATTTTTCTTCTTGCAATGAGTGTGTTATTAGCAGGACACGCCACAGACTTGTGGTGTTACACCATCGGGCACATCATGTTTTTCTTTTAATGATAATGTCCTTACTGCCTAATTAAAAATCCCAGTGCCCTTCAGATGTATCAAATAAATGCATGCATGGAAAGGATCTATTACATTTGGATTGCACCTTTTATGTTTCTCTCCACACAATGAAACTGGAGGTTGAAAAGGAACAGCCTCTTAATATTAACACGGGGAAATTGCAGCCGTTACGCAGGAAAACGGTAGAGCGGCCGCATTAATTGTCTGAACGTATGTAGACGACCTGCACTTTGAGCCGCAGTGCGTGCATGAACAAACACAGCCTTTCGATTATCCGTGGCAGTGTTCCATTAGGAGCCTCGTGGGCGTAGCACATTCAGGGGATGGAGGCGGATACCATCAATCCACCAGCTGTGCCATGAGCTGGATGTAAAGACACTAGACACACTGCATGCTTTCTACCTTCCTATCCGACAGTCTGGTTGTTATTGATAAACCACTCTCCACTCACTCACTCATGGCCCTCGCGATGTATTTATTAGTATGAGCGTTCCTGGGCATAGAGACCGATGTCTTGTTTCTCTCTGCTGTCAGCAGGTAACTGAAAACTATTCCACTATACGGTGACATTTACATCCAGCTTTCCCCCGATGATGAACAACGTCATCAGGTGGAATTAATTGGCAATTGGCAACCGAACACGTGAAGCGGTAATAGGATATTGGTATTTTGACAAATGTGTTCATCATAGATAAGAAAGGGTCAATAAAGCTAATCTAGTATTTACTAGACTTGGGCAAAGGTGAAAATGATCCAGATAAACAATGAATGAAACCTCATTGGAGAATGGCAAATATGGGAGTAGTTACCAGTGCTTCCTTCAACAAGATGTGCAGCTCCGTATGGCCTTGACTCTTTGCGATCTCGGCGGGCGTCTCTCCGTGCCGATTGGCTGTGTGCAGCGCTCGCTCAACACCTGGACACTGCAGCAGGAGGCAGGAGACGCTCCTGAATCCATACTGGGCAGCAAAGTGGAGGAGCGATGGAGCGTCTGTGCATCGGAGCTCTGACGTGGCGTGTTTGAGAAGGTACGGAATTTGTTATCAAATTAAGAAGAATCCACAGTTAAATAACCTGAAGTCGACCCGATGTGCAGTCTAACACAAACAGGAGAGCTGAAGGACGACCGCTTGGAGGCACTTATCGATCTGTTTGTCATGGCAAGCATTTCCTGTTCTTTTTTCATTTCATAGGCAGAGATGAGGAAAAATCGATGTAGATAATGAGCAAGGAGCAATTAAAGGCGTCTTTTTCATGCTGGATAATGTGCATATTGAAACAGGAAAATATTCTAATAGAAACTTTTGTTTCACATTGTTGCATAAAAACAAGCTCAGAGGGAAAGGAATGAATCCTATTGACATTGTGACACACAAAGCATTTGCATTACCCCTGTGTGTCTTCAATGGGGCATATTGGTTGAACATCTCTTGTTACAACATGGTAAGATGCATATTCGTATACCTGGCTACATGTTGAAATATTTTACAGAAGACAAAAGTGAAATTGTTTGTAATAAACTACACTGTCAGCCGATGCGTTCAGGTGTTTGTATCCATGAACAACAAAATGCAATTTTTCCTTTTTTTCTCATTTTTTTTAAGCAGATGTTATTTAATTTAAAGTTCGGAGGAGTTAATCCCACGGTGTGGTACCTCTTCCAGGTGTCTTTTCACAATGCAGTCCCTGAAAACCTCCGCCGGGCATCCCCGCCAACAACATGGACGACAGCCTCTGGTCCAGATTCTCCAAAGTGGACTCCTGAAAAGCCTGAGAGACAGAGAGTTCACAAGCTGGAGACACATATTGAAATAATTCACCCAGGCAAGTCAGCGCAAGCAAATTACCGACAAAAAATCCAAGAAAAGCTGCGTTTAAAAACAATGGATTTGAAGTACTTATGTCAAACATTACCAAATCCCAAAAATATGCATCAGAGTCCATTTGTGACAGTCCAGACTTTGAAATTCACTTGGCAACTTCTTCTTTTGGCACAACTCAAGTTAGCCTCTTCAGCAAAAGAGAGCTAATCAAATCAAATGTTTATGGCTGAAAGCTGCAGTCTTTTCATTTCCAGAGATGGGCGCGCACACACACATCAGCAAAATTATGCTGAGGAAATTAATCTTCCATGTTTTCTGCATCTTTCTTGAAGTGGACCAATTATCAGCAGTGTTTTGGCTGTTTCGCATAACGTTGAGTTGCTAGGCAACATTTATAATGTCTTAAAAAAGTATCTTTTATCAAAGGGAGGAGGTGCTGGGATCAGAGAAAACACCATTCAAATGAGTTTTCCAAATCAATGATTGATGGAGCTTTTTGAATATATTTGCAGGTGTTGGAGGTTTAACATTTGAGGCATGCCCGCTGCTTTTACATTTTTTTCAGGCAAATTTCATATCATAAAGTACATTTTGAAATGTTTATTATCATATTTATTACAGCGTTGCCATTGAAAGGTTGGACTGTGTTGTGAACGGCAATTTGGCTGCTCTCCAGACTATGATTTCATGCACAGAAAAAAAAAAAAAACTACAACCCTCTATTAAAGTGCTACTCCATTTGGCATTGCACCGCCATGAAGTAGTGAGACTGACATTTGAAAGTGTGGTCAGGATCAAAATCCTCCTGCATTTCCCACAATGCAACTCAATAGCACGCATTTGTTAGCCGCCCTAACAGACAGCTGCATTTGAAACAGGCCCTTTAACAACTTTACCTGACACATAAAATCGACAGGGTTGGCTGCCCTCGCCAAAAGGGTCGTCATTTCCTGCACGTTGCTGTAGTACTGCACCTGTGCCTTGCTCAGCGGCAGCCCTCCGCTGTACAAAGTCACGGTCACATTTCCTGCCGTAAAATCTGCAACAGAAAACATTCACAACTTTACAAAGGCAGCATTTTATTGTGTAATATCTATAATATATATAATTTGTGATTTTGTTCACCTGGCGCATTGACACACAGGATTCGCTCATTCCAGAACTCAGGCTTCACTCTCAGCATCCTTTTCTCACCGGCGAACTCGACCTCGGCGTCGCTGCCGGCCGACTCATTCTTCAACAAAATGAACACCTCCGTAGAGCTCTGCCAAAGGGACAGTAAACTCAACTGCATTGCAGTAAATCTTAGGGGGCCGCTCCTACGGACTGATCGTCTCACCCTGCACGCCACTCTGGAGGGAACGACCGCCATGCTGGATTTGACACTCTTCTCCCGCATTTCTTCCACCTTTGGCCCCAATGGTTGCCGGCTCAAAGGCTTGGCTTTTGCCGCTGCAAACACACCAACAGAAATGAGACATTTAGTGCAACATCCCAATGATGTCTAAATGGACTCCAGATACCATAATAATCCAGGGGCCATGTTGGCCAGTTGCCACAACTGAAACTTTACTCCAAAAAAAAATTCCAATATTTTATAACTAATTCCTGCAAAACTAATGACACTCCAATGTAATCATCCTCCAATGTAATTTGTTATTAGTGGAAACGGGGCCTTTAAATTGGCTACGTAGAATATTAGTTTTGGTTGAATCACACGGTTGAATCCCGCATCGAATCAAGAACTCTCTGGTATACATTCTTATAACGAACATTTGAAGTCACGCAAATAGAAAATCTGAGTCTGTAATTTCCCTCAGGGTTTATTAAGCCTTTCTGTGATCAGAGGAACCAGTCATGAAGTGCCCTTTATTCACCAGGTTACACTGGAATCTGTCAAAACGCCCCCTATGTCTGTTGCACGTGTGAACAAACAAACACCATCATCCTGTATGAATAGGAAAGGCACTTCTGGGTTAAAATATAACTCTTTGTGGGATCCTGGACTAAAGCACTTCACTGTGTCAGTGCAATGAAGTGGTGCATAGTGCACTTGAATTTGCATGGCTGACGAAGAGCGTAGTCCATAGCTAAAGAGGAAAGACTAGCTATTTGCATCAGATGTTTACCCTGTGCACACACCTGTCTAAATACAAGCCCCCTCCTCTGCTTTATGATGTTATACAACTCGCGCCATCAGGAAAAGACGGGAAAGTAAGCAGAGAATGGATTACGGGGCAAATGAGGACATGCTAGAGCTACAGTGTACAAAAGAAGTCTCTGTGGCTGGTTCCCAAAAAAATATTGGACGTCAATCTGCTCACAAATAATGAGCATTCTTTTCCCCTCGCATTTATGGCTGAGCATTGGTTTGGCTATATGAATTTATCACTGGAAGACGTTCTGGGTTTTCAGACTGGAATTTACATTCGACTAGATTGCGACTGTTTAACTGTCATGTATCAAGATACTTGTGCTCACTATTCATTGATTCATATTATTAGAATGCTGATTATACTGGAGTTTCGGAGGGTAAAATACTTATGTTGGAAACTGCAGCGTTCAAATTGGAGTGACACTTTACATATATATTGAATATAAGCACAGGACATCACATTTTAGAGTTGTGGGGAAGCTGAGGAGGGTTTGTTTACCTCACTGGCTGCTGAAATAAAGTCAGGGACTTTGATATCATCTGAGCAGGTCCCCAGTAAATGACAAATAATTTGATTTTATAACAAATACATTTGGCAGATTCTGTTGGAGGCGGAATATTGTGAAAGAGCATACACTCTGCAGCTGGTAATTAAATCACATATTAAGCCAGAATCAACTGGCATTGTGCTTCTGACCAAATCTCATTACATTACAGGTAATTTAGCTGACGCTTTTATCCAAAGCGACTTACATTTAACCTGTGGCTTTTTTACATTTTTGCCCAGGGAGCAATTAGGGGTTAGGTGTCTTGCTCAGGGACACTTCAATATTGAGCAGCCGGGGTTTGAACCGCCAACCTTGTGGTGTTAAAGTGTTAAGTGATATTTCCCCAAATGAATATCAAAATGACAACCTTTTTGCCAGCAATTCCCTACCTTTTCGCACAATATCAGTCACGGTGGTCAGGTACTCATGAGCATCCTGTTCGCTGGAGACCTGCAGGCACTCGTTGGCGTTCAGGGGCACGAGCTCCAGCAGTGGGGTCAGACTCTCCACCCCACACAGCAGCACCACCACATGAGCTGCAGGGCGCAGTACGCGGGCCAGGAAGAAGCGCCGCTTCGGGCACAAACCTTCCAGCATGCCGTCGGAAAGGATCAGGAGCTTGCAGGTGTACCGGGCCAGCCAGAGGAAGTCGTCCTGTCGACTGGACAGCGTAGACATGTCGTAGAGGCAGATCCCGGCCTCCGGGATTGGACCGCTGAAGACTGCGTGCAGATAAGCGGCCCATTGCTCTGACTCCTTCTCATAGATGATTAGCAGCTGCTCAGCTGCAAGCGAAAGTATTTCAGTAAAACATGAAAGGGTTAGGGTTTTTGTTTTTTTTAACATGTATAAAAGGGAAAAAAAAGTTACTATTTGTACACACAAAGAAAAAAAAAATATTAAAAAAAAAAAATAGAATAACAAAGAACTAAGACACAACATGATGATTAGCAGCTGCTCAGCTGCAAGAGAAAGTGTTTCAGTAATCAATTGAGAAAAAAGACCCACTATATTTCTCCTACCTTATATTCACATTTAAGCTAACGCACGTGCTTCTACAGGATGCAGAGAAAAGGATTAACTGTCATCCCAAATCTTGCCCTTGTTGCTTTTTTACATCGTCACATACTAAAACAAACACTTTAACAGTGTTTTGAGACATTTTGCTATGAGCATTGCAAATAATCATTCGTCAGCGATACTTTTATATTAAAGCGGTAAATATGTACTGAGCGAGTGGATGAATAACACAGAAGGGACAGCTTACCTGTCTGGCTCATGGCTACAGGTGTGTCTGTCGGCAGGTCCCACTTCCTGGTGACAAGGGCAAGAAGCACCGCTATCGTTAGGCGGAGCTTAGATCCACGCCTACACAAACTGAAAACATTTATTTGAAGTTGACAGGAGCCAAAAAAGGAGTTTGCTCCATGTGATTTACTACAGCACTCACTCCATGGCAGCAGTTCTAAGTAATTAAGCAATTTCATTATTGGAACTAAATGTAAATCCCTCTAAAGTCTTGTTTGTTTTGCTGTCAACGTGTAACTGGTGCTGGTACAACAAAACCCGAGACGCAAAATAGAATGTCATAAAAAATAAAAGTTACAAAAAGCAAAGAACGTCTATATAGTGAACTTTTTTTAATACATACATTTATAAAAATATACAACTATACACAATATACATCTATATAACACAGAAACCAACAGTGGAATTATACTCTCAACTGAAACCCGAATGCAAATACAAAAGCAAAGAAACAAAATAATTGAAACGCCATTAAACGGACAGAGCATCACGTTGAGCAGAAAGCAGCAAACAATAAACACAAAAGGTCGCTGTCAAGCAGACAACATGTAATCAGAAACAGCAAAAAAACTTGAGTCTACGAACCTGACCAGCGTTTAATTAACTCTACGGAGCCACGGTGCAAAGCAAAGCAGCAGAGCCATGAGATGTTTTAAAACTAATGATCTGGTGTGAATGCCCCCCCCCCCGGCCGGCTACATGAGGAAATAAAAAGGCAGTGGGATGTTCTGACCGCACACCTACACCCGCAAACCCACACACACACACACCATCGTTGAGAGAAATGTTAAACCTAAGGCTTCATTAACTGCCTTCCCCTGCCAAGCAAGTGTCTCATACCACACGAGTGTTTCACTAATAGATGTTTGCCACCATTTATTCCCATTGGGCAGCACTGAGGCGGGGGAGGGAGGGAGGGCGGGGTGGTACGACTGCTGAGAGAACGAGCAGGTGAGTGTCGAGGCCTCCTTCAGGAAAATCGTCCGGTGCCATGGAGCTGATGGCTCGGCCAGCGACAGTTCCTTCTGTTCCAGTGAGATCTAACACGCTTCCAACTCGCTCACACTCTCTGCACACGGACTGTGATCCAAACCACTGAGACAGGATCTGTATATGAGCTCAACTGAGAAGGACGCCGCGTCCACTACGGGCCAGCTGCTTTATCATGTAGACCGATAAGATGTCCTCTGAGAGAGATGTGTGATTTCCACTGCGAACAAACAAGAACTGAAGCAGCAACTCTTATCCTGAGGGTGGCACTGGAGGAAAAGTATTCAAGCATCGAAATAGAAATATTCACTACAACTGTAGGGGTTCAACCTCTGGGAACATTCAAAATTCAGAGGACGTTTGATTAGAAGTATTTATTTGGTGTTTGGGGTATTTTGATGTCGTTATTGTCGTTGTCTAAAAAGTAGGGCAGAATTACAATTATGCAGATGAATTTGTGAGTGTCTGTGATCTACAGAAGCCCGGTTCATTCATCCATCCATCCATCCATCCATTGTCAAACCGCTTATCCTGCACACAGGGTCGCGGGGGGGCTGGAGTCCATCCCAGCCAACTCCGGGCGATACCGGTTCATTCAGAAAAAGGAAAATAAAATACATTTAAAGTCAGTTAAGTTAAAGTAAAAAATGACTAGCTTTACTTACTATTTCATTTTGACCTCAAAACCTTCACTTACCAACTTGTGTTTGATATCTTAATTTAGCTTAAAATGTAGACTTTTCACCTTGTGTTTTATACACAATCATGATGTACAGACCTTTTTTTAATTTTGCGTCATGACTTTGCAAGTCACTGGCACATTTACGGACAGGACCTCTAAGACTCACTGCGACAAAGTGGGTTAGAACTCATTTGTCCTCATATTTCACTGCGTTCAGCATTTCCTTAGTTACTCATATCACCGTTTGCTGCTTACCATGCGTCCCTGAGTATAGCAGATGATGTGACCAAACCGTCACTCTATTTGTGCACGGGATGACGCCAGTAGTGTTGACATAGGGGTTGGACCACGTAAGCGGGGGGAAGCGAATGGTTTCACAGGGACATGGTGCAAACTAGATCCTGCTTATACAAGGCCCTAAATAAGCAGCATCTGCAATGGGTGGTACAGGAGGTGGGGGACATCATCATGATGGTAGGATCGGTTAATCAAAATGACTGTATCTATGAGTTGTATTCTGTTGTCCTACCACTTCCCAAGCCTCTCCGGTGAGGCTTCACCATGCACGTGTAATACCATTTATTTTTTATTTTTCTATTTCTATGGTTTATAATATATATATATATATATATATATATATATATATATATATATATATATATATATATATATATATATATATATAGTTTTTTATCCCTTCATTCAAGCATAAAATTGCACCCACCCTGCCACACATGTATCATAACGTATTCATACCAGTTATTCTCACCAGACCGGAGTGACACGGGAACAATCCTTTAATAAAATTGAATGGACGTGGATGCGTGGCAGCCTGCGCGCTCTCCGCCAATAGGAGGAGTTGGTGCGCGTCGGGGGGGGCGGGTCCTGCGGGCCAGCACTTTAGACTGCGCTCACACAACTTGATACAGAGTAACAGTAAATCAGACCGAGCAGCTCCTGCGGCACCAGCAGCGCAATTGTAGCCCTGTTGCAAGTATTTTTGGCCGCCGACAGCACCGAGTGAGATCACTGCGGGTCTCTTCTCTCGGACAGACTCCAGAGGACCGCTTCCACTCTCGTGTCTGCTTATATCTCAACATTATTCCACAATGGAAATGTCCGAAAACAAGCCGAGTGATGAGCCGAAGTTATCTACGACGGACAGGGTGGTGAAATGTAAGTGTGCTATTCTGTGTTAGTCTTATTTCTGTTGTTGTTGTGGTCGTCGTCCACGCCGCGCTGAAACGAGAGAGCGTTACCGCGGCGAGCTGCCTCTGACCAGCGGGGGCAGAATTGAAGAATTCACGGTCTCAGCGGCGGCGGCAGAAAAAAAAAAGAAAAACACAGAAAAAAAAGCAGCCCAGTTTTGTGGCAGCGGGGTAAGAAGGGTGTTAGCCGGGCTGTGACAGCAGCAGTAAACTAGGAAGTGAGGGCAACTCCGCTTTGCAGAACACAGAGGCAATTCCTCTAGAAATGTGTCACATCGTGTGTGTGTGTGTGTGTGTGTGTGTGTGTGCGCGCGCGTGTGCGTGGGTTTGTGTATACATGCACTCTTTACATTTTTTTTTATTACAGGCTGCGGCGTGCCAGATGCACAATGCACAGCTGTACAGTATGCATGCAGATATTGCACAACCCCTCATTTTGCATCACCAAGCATAGTTTCACTCAAAGCTCTTTGTTGTCTTTTTTTCCTCATCATTGCATAATACTACTAGATGGACGCCTGTGGTTTGCCGTGTGCCATATGAGGAGGTGCTGCCTGCCTGTGCATTTTTTTATTTTTATTTTTTTTACAGGTCAGACATTCCACCTTTTGCAGTCCACCAGTTAGAATGCAGTGGAGATCATTATCCAGGCGACCTATTCCTCAAACAGCACGAGCAATGCTGCCTGTCCAGTTTTCCCGTCCCTTGATCCCTCGTGTCCCCCTCACAAGCACCACTCCACTTAAAGCGTGTCTTAACCCAATTTCTGTTGGCCCACGAGCGCCGGCTGCCGTTGGAACCGAGACTCCTCTTGGTTGGGAGACCACCGCGGAGCCATTCCCCTCCAGAACGGAGATGACAGAATGTGTTTATTTGCGCTGGGCTCGTGGGGCTCCAGCACTAGTTGCAACCATCACCCTCTCCGGCACATCACAACAGGGAGCGTGCAGTGATGGCAGCGTGCGCGAACGCAGCAGGGAGGCCTTGAGTCATTTTCCTGTTCGGGCTAAGTTGCCACGGTTCATCCGCTTGAATTGATTGGATCAATCGGTTGAGCAGTTCACCAGTAATGAGAGATAGGAGAAGGCAATGCTACAGTGTTCAAAGGACCACGTCTGGAGTCATTGGCTATGTTGAAGACGCGCTTGAGCTCCATCGCCAATGTAGTTCCACTTGATCGCTTTCCCATGGGCTTCGCTTTGTGCCTTCTGAAAGGAAGGGAGGAGGAGGGGAAATGGGTGGGGGGGGGGGGCAAACAAATTGATAACTGCTCTTTTCAGTACGGGGCTATCCCGTTGTGTTTCGATCACCTTCCCTTTCCGAAAATGGGGCTGAACATTAAAAGAGTCGCAGCGTATCTTTTCTTTTTTTTCTTTTTATAATGAATATTTCAAGAGTTCTTCCCCCTACAGTCTCCACCAACTTGAAGGGTGATGAAATATAGATGGAACAAGTATTGCTTTTTGAAGAGATTTAACATGATCAGACGGATGCGTGGCCGCTGGCGGGTTACAGACTTGAAGGTACCGGAGGCGACGCCGCTGTGTTTTCTCCTCTGCCTGGCAAAGGTCTGCTTCGGTCTTAATCGGGTTAAAAGTCAGTGATTTGGTCTCTGTAGAGGCTTTAAGGGGAAATCCGAGAGCCCGGTTCCTCGGGCTAACTTTTCAACCAGATGATCAGCAAATTAATTTAACTCATCATTCATCCAAGTTGGGAGAAGTCAGTGTTTTGGTAATTCATCAGTGTTATGACAACACTGTCGCTGGCTGTGTACAAAGCAACGCTCCCAAATAACTGCCGGCTGTAGGTGTGAAGTCATTTGTTGTCGGCTGCCTCGTGTGCCCTGCTCCAACTTATCATAAGTGGTTTGCGTCCACCTGTTTTCACGAGGCATTATCATAATGCTCCTGAAAGCCACTGCCGCATGCATAGTAATTACTCATAAGAGTTTAATCAACTGATGCAGAAGAAGTGGCATAATTCCCGTCGTGTTTTCACCCGAGACCGAAAAGTACCGGAACTATATGAGCAATCATCCCACCATTCGCTTAACGGCCCCTGTGGTATCGTTGGGGGATAGAATTTGTGCACGTCGGTTGGACTCGAGACTCAAAAATCAGCATTTGGATCTACTGCAGTCCTTTTTTTAATAACTCTTACCAATTAAATATGATGCTACCCTTGGTTAGACGTTAAACAAACTGTTAGGAATGCGATCGTCACGCTGCAATCGCGTCAACCGTCACCCTCCTGAAGCAAAGCGCGCTCAGTGATGGTGTTTTTCCGTCACCGGCCATGAAGCAGGGGCCCCCGAGGCCCCCGATGGCGGCTCCTGCGCCATGAGTGGGGACGGATAACATCTGACATTTGACTTGTGAGGAGAGGCCCCCGTGCTCAGACATGCGTAGGTTTGGAGAAATGGCGGCGGCGACAGCGCCACTGATCCTCGCCACTGATCCTCGCCACTGATCCCAGCTGGATAGCCGAGTCATTTGTAGAAGAGAACATTAAGTAATGCCACATACTGGATTCTTGCATGTGGACATATTACATATTAACATACTAAGAGATCTTCCCTCTGGCTGTCGCCTTTCTATGAAATATTTCACCATTACCATGCATAAACCTTTTATTTTGAAAAGGTTTAATTTCAGTAGAAAAGGTCAGCAATATTTTGGTCGAGTCAGAAGTCAGAAATCCAATTGTTGGTAGCTACATTTTTTTTTTTTTTTTTTTTTTTCTTGCCGCATCAATTCTTCTTCAGCAGGACGGTCAATTTGAATCAAGAGTGAATAATGGCGTTGTGTGTGTGCTGCTCTTTTGAGACGAAGCAGACTAGATGACCTCTTACTGTCTTTATGCCTTTTGGCTTTCCGATTGGCGAGGGGGATTGCATTGTTATTTGACCGACTGCCCAAAAATGTGAACGTCTATTGTGATGACAAACACTTCAATTGATAACTGATCGTTACAACGCAATAAATTCACAATACTTTACTGCTTTTCCTCTAATGGATTGAATTGATCTACTGACAGTTGGCTAGGAATTTGATTAATTAGTGGTAGTTGCTCAGAATTTGTTGACTCACTAGAAAGTGTGAGTGGAAAAAAGAGGCACTGATGGAGCCTCTTTTTGTTGACCGTGATGACATACGTAACAATAATAAGTATTACATACTCTAGTCCCATTCTTAATCCAACTTTGGGAGCTGAAACGCTTCATTTCACTAGAGCATCATACGTGAGCTGAAACGGCAGAAATCAACCAAAAATGTATCTATGACAATTTAGATTAATGTCCGTAGTTTTGAACACTCACTCCAGCTCTTTCAATTCTGCTGTTTAGCTGCATCGAGTTATTTGTTGCTGGCGGCTCGTTGGTTTAGGGAGCAGAGCGGTTAATTAGAGCCGTTTGATTGGACAGTTGAACTGCGAACAGGGAGCGCTTGATCTGCTGCACGAGAGCAGGGGTCCTAGGTAGCAAACTGTCAATATCCCAGTTTAGATGTACGCAGAAGGAAAAATCCTGATTGCGATCGTTATTATTTGGCGCCATGTAGTTTTCCTGATTGATCCAGCTTTCTTTCTTTTCTTTTTTTAGTGTCTTCTTTCCAGGGAAAAAAGGCCCTCAACAATTCTGGTGGATGTTGCTCTCTGGATGTCTCATTTTGAATGCAAAAAATATTAAGAGTAAGTCACTATATAGTCTTCAGGGATGCCCCCCGTCATGTCTCCTCGGCATGTGAAAAGGCCTGTGTCCTCCTCCTCCTCCTCAGCATCTTTTGACAGCAGTCCACTCAAACGGCTCGACCTGGAAATGTCGCACACAGCAGGAACTGTGTGTGACAAGAAGATAACGGAACAAGCGTCGCGCGTCTTGTCGCGACGTAAAGCGAAACATTATTCAGCCGCTGTTGATCACCTTATTAATAACCGTGTGTTGCGTCTCGTTGTTTTTTTCGAAAGGGAAGACTCGGTTGAGATGTTACTGTCGGACACACCGTTCGTGGCACTCTGCACCTGAGTAAGCACACCTTCACCGCTCATTAGATTAAAGAGGAATTAGGCTCTGTTGTGGAATTAGGGCACAGCAAAGCGGAGGATTCGGACAGATTATATAGGGGGATAAAGGCGGCCCTGCTCAGAGGTTGTAATCTGACTCCATGCATTAAAGCTGCTGCGCTTGCTAATTGATTGATTGCTTGTACACAGACGTCATAATGTTGGGCTCATATTTTGGTAAAAATCCGCCTCCCGTATAACAACACGCGGCATTTTCCCCTCCCATGGCTGGCACGCAGCAGCAGCCCGCGGCCCTTTTGTGAGCTGCGGCGGCTAACGAAAGTGATTTTTATTCATTTTATTTTTTTCCGGAGGGGGGGGGCAGGAGTGGTGTGTCATCAGGTCGCTCCCTGGAGCTGGTCACGCAGCGCCATCCCCGAATCGATCGATCGATTCTGTGTCCAGAACACATGAGAATGCATGTTGGACACCCAGTGCAGCGGGCGGGGGGACGGATGGGCTCCGCTGGGGTGACGAGTAGCACGTCGGCTTTCTCTCCCCACCGAGTAGTTTTGATTTAGATTTTTTCTTTTTTTAGGGAGGAGGGTACACCCACTCATGTGTGCCCGCACGTGAGCCGCAACATGGGTCACTTTCGCTTGGTTTGGGATTCAGATGTAGAAAAACCATCTGTTGCGAGAGCGTTGCCAAATGCTGTCTCGCAAAAGAATTGCGAGCAAATGCTTTGTGAAGGCCTGTGACTCATTAGCTTCACGTAGACTCATTCAATTAACAATTCAGTGGATGTTTATTTTTGTTCAGGGACTAGGTTTGTGTGCGTATGTTGTTTTTTTATATTGTTTTTGTTGTAATAATTTGATTTAGTTAATCACAGTCAGATTTGTTAACTGTTGGCCAAAATCCGCATAACTTCAATATAGAGGTGTTTCATTTAGTTGATAAAAT